CCGGAATACAATACAACAAAGTTTAAAATAATAAATGACTCTAGATCGCGACTCTTATGAAAGCAGCAATCATATTGATGATTGATGGGGGACAAATGTTCGATATCATCCTTGAAAACAGTAAATTTCGAGCACACAAACAAATGACAACAGGTCAGCTAACGTACGGCTACAAGTTTTGTTGATTTATTCCGCTAATCGTGGGTTACTTCCCGCATATCGCCATGGTATTTTTATTAATCCCGCTTCCCACGATGGAATAAAATCCCACTTCCCGCCAGTGTTTCTCTTAAAATCCCGAATCCCATTTGAATTTTAAACGCATCCCACCATTCCGCAAAACCGGTACAGGCACCTCATTGTTGCTTGAACAACCTTTCGTTTACAGTTAACTATAATCTATCTCTATGAAATGTTTTTTTGCTGAATGGGGTGCACTGTGATTCATTTCAATGCATCGAAATCATCCCGCCTCATGTCTCGTCCTGGCAAAGCTGGATCTTAATATAAACAGTCCCTTATTCAGCAAATTGCGCATGGTGCCATCCCTTGGGGGTGAGGCAGCAATTTCCTTGCGATAGTAACTTCTAGTACATATCCAAAAACAATTCATGGGCTTTACGCTTGAATGCTTGAAATGAGCTGGAAGATCTAATATCTGGTGGCAACATTTTTATAAAAGTATGCTCCAGTGTACCGAAGTCCACTCCTGGTGATTGATAGTTTATAGTTTGGTATCCATAAGTCCATATTGGCAGTGCTTCTTGTATGTCGCTGGGAAATTGTTGACAATGGTTTAAACATATTACTTAAATAGTCTGGAGTCAAGTTATTTAAGGATTTATAAACTAGGCAAACTACCCTATACATAACTCTGTACTTTATTGGTAAAATGTTTGACTGTTCCAAAAGTGGTTTAGATGGAGAAAGTTTTGATTTATCATAAATTAGTTTTAGGATAAGTTTTTGTAGTTTGTATATTCTTGAAGTGTGTGGTGATTGTCCCCAAACGGTGCAGCAATAATCAATCCTAGGTTGAAAGAACGTGTTATAAAATAGAATCCTTGTTTGAAGTGGCAGATACATTTTGATTCGGCGGAACAGAGCGATAAGTTTACTTAGATTAGAAGCTAGATCATTGATATGGGCTCTCCAACAGAGATGATTATCAACAATCACACCCAGCAATCTTTTTGATTCTACATTTTCAAGCACAGTATTGTTGTAATTGATATGGAGTTCAGAAGAGCCAATTTTCGTAGATTTTTGATATGTACAAATCACCATAGATTTTGATTTCTCGCCATTGCTCAATGTCTTCCATGGCAGACGAGAGTGTGCAATTCAACTGGTTCATGGAATTTCCAGAGGAGTGCAAGGTGGAATCATCAGCATAAAGATCTACGTTCTGGTTACTATGTAAAGGGAGATCGTTAACAAATAAAATAAATAGAAGCGGTCCCAGAATACTTCCTTGTGGTACGCCAAATGAAACAGGAGCTATTGATGAAATGTGATTTTTAATTTGAACACACTGATATCTTCCGGAAAGATAAGAATACATCCATTTAATTAGCTAGAGTTTCATCGAAACGATAACATTTAAGCTTGGAGATGAGAATATCGATGTTGATCATGTCAAATGCTTTTCGAAAATCAATAAGTGTTACACCATTAAGTTTTCCATGTTCAATATTTGTAAGCCATGTATCTACCAACTTAACAATTGCACTTTCACAAGAATGGTAGCGTCGGAATCCCGATTGTCCTTTATACAGTAGGTCAAAAGATATTAAGTGGGTGGTTATGCTGTTATGGTAGTGACGTTCCAACAGTTTGCTTTGAAAGATTATTGCTTTTAACTATATAACAATGAATTTCCGAAATATGTACTGTAGGTATGTTGTTCTGCATTTTGTTAGCTTTGATTTAATGTAAAATTTAACGTGAAATGTTCATTTTAATATTAAACTATAAACTGCTTTTTCCGATATAAAACTGTACGGGTTTTTATATAGTTTATAAAACAAAATAAGTTCAAATTGTTGAGTAATTTCAGTTCGGTTTTCAACTGAATTTGCACTCCTTTACATTTTACCTTTTAATCTTAAATTAAACAGGGTAATTTTGCAAACTTTAATACAGCTTCACTGAAAAGGAAAGCAGTGCATGTTTTACGCAATAAATTAAAGCAACAAAATTCGTAAACATTAAACATTCAATGCAAACTTGCCCTATATTCCACGATTTTCCATAGTAAATCAATTCTTCTCATTTCTTCAAACAATAATTGCTTCAAAGCCCATTGTGTGAAACGTGATTTTCCAAATATATGCTTTTGAAAATTGAAATCTTGCTTATCCCACTCATTTGAGATCAGTGAGGATGACCAACCACGGTTGGTGACCGACGCCCGCGCTCATTGATGAACTTTAGACTTGGCTAATGCTTCCCTTTCCCCGGGTGTAAATAGCCGGGGGGAATTAGTACCTTCGCACGGCGCTTCGCGCCGTCGGCTCGGGGATAATAATAATAATCTTTATTCAGGTAGCCAATTTCACCCGAAGGTGATTTACAATTGTGTCCTGTAATTACTTAATTAGAAATAAGTTACAAATTTGCTTAATAGTAAAAATATATACAGTTAATAGAGTATGTACGGAATAGTGAGTTACATACAATATGAAGTTATTTACAAAGTCTTCTCTTAAAAATAGCAAGATTTGGTGCTTCACGGGTGGTCACATCGAGAGTGTTCCAATCATCTACTGATTTATTTATTGTTGTCCATTGACCCCAGTTTGTTCTAGATTTAGATTTACGGATGTCCTTATTTTGTCTTGTATTATAATTACGAAAATCCTTACTCTCCCTATATTCTATAATCAATTTTATGTAAAAACTTATTATTTACACATTTGTACATAAAGATAACACGATGTTGTGATCTCCGAACTTCTATAATGGCTTCCATGTCAGTAAATGCCTCAGTGCGTCGGTACCAGATTATATTACCATAGTCTAACACTGGTAAAATCAAACTATAGAACATAATCCTCGCATATTGTGGCAGTAGATGTATGATACGCCTGAGCAGTCCTAACCTTTTGTTGATTTTACTTCTAATGTGATCTATATGGTCCTCCCATGAAAGATGATTATTAATTTTAATTCCCGGATAATTGAATGTTTCAACTTCGTATCATATTCATGTTTGTTCATGTTTGTCATCATTCAACATATTTTGGAACATTGAACATTAAATTATTCAGCAGTTATCAAGGGGTTACTGACAAACCGGTTTTATATGACAAAGTTTTTATTGGCAAGCTTTATTTGCTCGTCAGTACTGCAATTTTGATAAAATTTTCTATGACGAGTAGACTTGCTCAAAATCTACAACATGCCAGCTATTGGACAAATGTTCTTGTCATGGAAAAAAATTGCAAAGTACAAATTAATTTTGCTCATCTGTGGCAAACTATAAATTGAGATATAGTCATATTTTTGAATTTGAATATAATAATTTTGTCAGACTTGAGACCTAGCGGCTTATGGAAGTTTGGGGCTCCTTTTAAATATTACATTTACTAATAAAGTTTTATAAAGTATTGAAACTAATTCACGTGAGACTTCAAAATACAGAAATGAACAAGTGAAAATAAGCTGGTCGTATAAAAAATGTTATTACATTAATAACATTTAATTTAGGTTTAAACAAAGGAAGAGATGATGCATCACAAATGTCTGAACTAAGCACTATATTGTATAATAATAAAAATTGGCGTAATTTAGATGTTGTTGTTGTTGTTGTTGTTGTTGTTGTTGTTGTTGTTGTTGTTGTTGTTGTTGTTGTTGTTGTTGTTGTTGTGGTTGTGGTTGTGGTGGTTGTGGTTGTGATTGGTGTTGGTGTTGGTGTTGGTGTTGGTGTTGTTGTTCTTGTCACGTTACCGGGAACGGCAAACGGTAGGTTCGAACTTTCTTGGCAAAATTTTCGTTGGACGTTTTCGTTTCATATTTTCTTTCTTGCGTCGAAAGAATAATTATGTATTTCAGTTTTAAAACAGCAAGTTTATTTACTCTTTATTGCCTGGTACTGTAAATTTTTTCTTTGCCTGGCGTTTGACGTATAATAATAATAATAATAATTTATTAATTTATATTGCGCAAATATCAACTGAATTGTTTTCAATTGCGCATTACAATCGATGTTACAATATGATTAGATTAATTAACCTATTTTACATAAGATTCGCTATTTACAATGACTCTTGAGTATATTAATAGTTTGGACGTTCTCTGGTTTATAAAAATTTATTGAAACGAGCTTTCGACTGCCAGTCTGCAGTCTTCAACGGGCAAGTGATAATGAATTACATGGAAAAACATTGGTTTACAATTACATACAAAAACAATTAAACAGTTCCGCTTTAAACAGTTCTGTTTAATTGTTTTTGTATGTAATTGTAAACCAATGTTTTTCCATGTAATTCATTATCACTTGCCCGTTGAAGACTGCAGACTGGCAGTCGAAAGCTCGTTTCAATAAATTTTTATAAACCAGAGAACGTCCAAACTATTAATATGAATAATCCTGGTTACGCTTCTACCATTTTTAAACTCTTGAGTAGTTAATAAATACTAGTGTAAAAAGTGTTGGTTAAAAAGAAAAGTCTTAATTGATGATTTAAACCCGTTAATACATCTAATGTTCTTTATTTCAGCCGGTAAACTGTTCCATACTTTAGGCGCAGCTGCACTAAACGATCTGTCTCCTAAAGTTGCCAAAAATTTTCCTTTAGGGCGCATAAGCGTTATACTATTTTGTGATCGTAGACAGTATCTAGTTGGTTGTTTGACGGTGATAAGATCCATAATGTACTGTGGAGAGCTACCATAAATAGCTCTAAAAGTCAATAGCAGTATCTTAAATTGAATTCTTTGTTTAACCAGTAGCCAATGCAACAATCGTAGTAATGGAGTTATATGACAGAACTTACTCTCCCTAAAAATGAGACGGGCCGCTGCATTTTGAATCCGTTGAAGTTTATGGAGTTGATATGATGGTATACCATAAAACAAGCTATTACAATAATCAAGCGTGGAGGTTATGAACGTATGGACAAGTATCTCGGTGGTCTGTCTAGAGAGATATGGTCTAATCCTTCTAATATTATACAAATAATAGAAGGCAGTTGAGCATGTTCGTGTAATATGAGCATCCATAGATAGATTCCTATCCAACCACACGCCTAAGCTCTTAATAGGAGAATTAGAAGGCGAGATGTCAACAGCGCCGATCGATATACAATTGAGATCCACTTTCTCTAACTGCTGCCTCGTTCCTATTATAAGGAACTCCGTCTTGACATCATTCATTAAAAGTTTATCCTTGGACATCCAGTTCTTAATATCGTTCACACACAATTCCATGCTCTTGGCAGCTTTCACATCTCCATGCTCCTTACTAGGATTGAAGGAAAGATATAACTCGGTATCATCAGCAAAACAGTGAACATTTGGAAGATGATTTTTGATGACATTAAAAAGTTCACTACCATAGATGGTAAAAAGTATGAGTCCAAGACACGAACCCTGTGGGACCCCCCAACTTAGATCGAACTTCTCAGAAACTGCTCCATGCACAGCAACTCGTTGTGATCTACCTTTAAGGTAAGAACCGAAGCACTTCAAAACAACACCTTCAATACCAAGTTTAGTTGACATACGATCAAGCAAAATGTCCTGATCTATGGTTTCAAAAGCGGCACTAAGATCCAGTACCACCAGAAGCGTTACGTGTTGCTTGTTCATATTAAGCAAAATGTCATTAGTGATTTTGAGTAGCGCGGTCTCGGTGCTGTGATTCTTTCTATATGCTGACTGCAGAGGAGGAAACAAATTATTAACAGTCATGTGACAATGAGTTTGATTAGAGGCAGCCTTCTCCGCGAGTTTTGAGATGAATGGTAGATTACTCACTGGTCTTCGATTTTGAGATAAGATAAGATAAGATAAGATTTAATTATGCCTCTCTGGGCAACTCATGCATCTAAGAAAATTACAGAAATATAAATCTTACAGTAATATATATTACAATTATTAAAAATTAGAAACAAGAAATATGTCTTCGCATAGCAACCTCTGGATGCAATTTAAGATAAGTAACATGGTCATTCTTATCCGGAATTCTGTTAAAGATTTCTTGCGATAAATACCAATATCCGTGACTAGAATCCGGGTTATAACTTTTTAGATCATCAAGTCCTGCCTTAAAGACGTTTACACTAGGTGCATACTTAACAGAGTTTGGTAAATTGTTCCAATACTTAATTACTCTTACGCTAAAACAATCTAACGCAAATCTGGTCCTACAGAATCTGGTCCTACAGGATGATAC